TTGATATTTGGAAGAAAAATTTGTACTAGGCGCAGTCTATACAACCCTCAAGCCTTATCTCGATCTGGGGGACACAAATGTACACGCTAAACAAGTGGTACATGCAAAGCGTCTATCGGTGGAGACTTCTGCGTTGGTGTTAGAATTGAGACGAACATTGGTTCCGTGGCGATGATGTTATGTATGTTGACTTTGTAGAATTTTCATCAACTATGCCACCGACCTCTCTGGACAAAGTTATCATTAGTCATATTGCACGTAAGTAATAATTCTTTCGATCTATTATTAAACTCATCATATGTGTGTATATGTATATAAATTATCCTAACAAGTACTATATATATGCAGATTTACAATGACAGAGCTCAGAAAAGAAGGTTGCAATGAAATTGGTTTTGTTGATCCCCATATAGTATTCAAAGACCCAATTACTCCAAAGACTAATTGGAAGTCTGAGTCAGAGAGTAACCTCATGAACTTCTTAGTGAACCAACGCCACAAGAAGGATATACTCTTTCCCTACAACTTCAAGTAAGTGTTAATAATGTCGATCATCCTTAATGGCTAATATGTTGATTCTAGTTAATTAATGAGTGTTATGCGTTATATCCTATAAAGACATGCAGCAATCACTGGATATTGATGGACATCGATCTGGTGAAAAGTCACTTGATAATCTATGACTCGATGAGAAAACCACAACAAGACTACCAAGATATGATAGATATTATCCAGAGGTAATTTCGGTATCTCTAGCAACTATATATACACAAAAATATGATGATTAACTATATATGATGATGTGGCAAATTTTTTATTGGGTTGTGTTTGGAAAACCTTTATTGAGAAGCAACACATGGGAAAATACAAAGCGCCACTGAATGTAATCCCTTTGAAAGTAAGTCCCCTAAATCACATCATCTTTATTAATTAAACATATAGCTTTCACCGGATCACCAGATTGGATGACAAATCTTTTTCTCGTAAAGTAGTGTCTGAGGCAGGAATAGGGGAACAACTACTGTGGTTACTATGTTTGCAAGTTTATTAAGGTGATCTCCCAAAGAACTCCTACAGAGAGACTCAAAGTACGTTAAAAATACACTATATATTTATTTAATTATTATTATTGATTGTGTTACTATGTCTTTACATATATATATATATGTATGTACATATATTAATTTATTTTCCTTTAATTCAAACCTATAGACTCGATGGTTGGAGGAAAAGGTCATACGGCAAGACCAAATCAAAGCAATTCAAGAGTTTATAGCCGGATTTTTTAATGAGCAGGTCATCGATTCCAAGGCGAGTTCTACTTGACCCAACACCGCCATTGAAACCAAGCTAGAGGATGAGAGAAAATTGTTATATCACAACAACTGTAATGCAATCTTTTGTAATATATGAAATGAAATAATACATATATGCATGCATGTAAATATATATATGATGCATGCATATATATATATATATATATATATATATATATATATATATATATATATTTCTATGCTTGAATTGTGTGATTTAACACATTCATTGTGTTTGAACCGAAATATACTATACGCACGTATAAATGTATAATTATAGCAGCATACAATATGACTTCGAAAACCTATTTTGAAAAGAAAACAAAAAAATGAAAAGAAAAGAAAAAAGAAAAAAAACCTTTAGTCCCGGTTCGTATTACCAACCGGGACTAAAGGTGTCGGCCATCGTGGCATGTCAGGAGGCATCTTTAGTCCCGGTTGGTGTTACCCACCGGGACTAAAGGTCCTCCTTTAGTCCTGGTTCCTGACCCAGGACTAAAGGACCCCCCTTTAGTCCCGGGTGCTTGCTCCCGGGTGGGGAACCGGGACTAGAGGGGGTTCCCCACCGGGAGTAAAGCTCTGTTCTCTACCAGTGCAACTCAATGTAGCTTTAGGGCATGTATAACCTACAGACGGGGACCGTCTATAAACGCCTCGAATTTATCATACAATAAGTCATACAACACATAGTCTATCTCATTGTCTGCAAGCTGTTTAATGCTCTGCATGTAGTTAAGATCAACTATAAATAAATTTGTGTATATCATTGTGTTGCTGTTTGATAGAAAATGTATCAAGCATAAATAAGAGCAACATGATCATAATATTTTTTAGAACCATCACTATAATAATTATGTTATATATAGTTGCAACTTTTTTTTGTCCGTTTTCGTTTGTTTCCATATATAGCATTGCTAGATTCGCTTGATTAAACCCTTCTTGAGTTTTCTATGTGTTGGCCGAGCTTTAATAGCGGACTTTCTATGAAGTACCTCTACGAAGCATGGATTAGGGTTGTCGCTTGTATGCACTTCAGGTGGGAGCACTATCGTCGCACTTGGATTCTCATTCAAATCCAAGACTTCTCTAATTGATTCCTTCTCATCTTCCACTATCATATTGTGAAGGATAACACAAGCTTGCATTATATTGATAACGTCCCCCTTGCTTCCATAACCTTGCTAGTTGACGAACAATATCAAAGCGTGATTGCAGTACACCAAATGCGCACTCTACATCTTTCCTGGCCCCTTCTTGCATCAATGCAAATAATTTGTCTTCCGTCGACTGAGGGGTCGTTACTATCTTCACGAATACTACCCATTCTGGATATATTTTATCGTTAAGATAGTAACCCATGTCATACTGTGTTCCGTTTACGTTATAGTGTACCGTAGGAGCTTTCCCTTTTACCGCTTGAATGAACAGTGGTGACTTGTTTAGAACGTTTATGTTGTTCTGAGACTCGGTGGTACCAAAGAAAACATGCCATATATGTTTTAGACTTTATTATTCAATCCTTCCCAACATCCTTTTGAATCTACATCTACTATAGAGAATTGAGCCCATCAAATGGCTCTAAGATTAACTATATGGTTCCTCTGAGTTGATACAATAATCAATGATATGACAAACATATCCCTTAATGGACAATTTCGATGGTGTCATATCAATTTTTAAAATCAGTGTTGTACAAATTTCTGTTACAGGGAAGCACACTGAATCATATGAGAGAAATGTTGTGAAAACTTGTTTAACGGCGCTTACGGACAATGGATACTTATTTGCCCTACTTCTCATTCTTCCGATACAAGCTTTACACGAGGGCAATCCAGATGTGGCAACATTAAGTAAAAGGATTGCTCGGCACAATGAAAATGAAGCAATAAAGGCATAAAGCCAAAGTGGTGCTAAAAGTGTATACTTATTATTATGTCATGGTTCTCATATTCTATTTGTTGATACTACTTACATATTCCGCATCATGATTTCAACTACGCTTCTTGTAGCTTTCAATCAATTCTACATCAAGCCATGAAGCATCTCGGCCACTTATACTTCCACCTTCAATAAACCACATTGCATGTGGGTGCATATACTCATTTATCGATCAGTTTGAGTAATGTTTATTATGTACTCATTTTAAGATACTCCGAAACTTACTACAAGATTTTTTCAAAAGAGCCCATATGTTCTAATATATTATTATAATACCACTATAGTAGTATATATATAAAATACGTGTAACAATATACTCTATGTATACTTGCATATTTGACATACATACTACCCTATATGGTCTATTATGTATGATCATATACTCCAGCTACATACACTCCGTTAGGCCATATACACCCCAAATTTTGGAGATATACACATGGGAGAAACTACAACCTGAGAGTAGAAAATAATTAATTATAACTTTATGGACTTTGGTTTGTGCTTTATGACAATTGGTTTGCACTGATTTGATCTATACGTATTATGCATGGTTTTCTAATTATGATATATATTTATTACCGATTCATGCGAAGGAAAAACAGACTTGTTGTAGTTCTAGTATAATCTTGATGGCAATGCGATATACTCCCTCCGTCCACGAAAAGAATACAATTCTAGTTTTTCAAGGAGTCAAACTGTTTAAATTTGGAGTAAATTTATATAAAAAAATACTAACATTCATGATACAAAATAAAGTACCATTAGATTAGTTATAGAATACATTTTATAATAAATGTATTTGGAGACATAATGCTAATACTATTTATTGTAAACTTGATCAAATATGAGCTAGTTTGACTAGCACGGTTCCCCATAATTGCATTGTTTTGTGGATGGATGGAGTATATGTGATGCATTACTAATATCAAACTCAACAAAGAATTGCCTTACTTTAGCACTGTATTAGGCATAGAATCATACTAATAATAGTCTAATCCCTCTAATGTTGGGCCTTAATTCTGAGAGTCTGCCTATTGCCAATTTATCCCTGAATCATTTACATATACACACTTTTTGGAGACAGAATGATATGTCAAACCATACAACGTTTTTTTTTATTCCATTAAATTACAGAATCATACATCCACGGATGGAAGAGTCTGGAGCTTTATTTCCTTGTTAAAAAATGATAGAATCATACACAGTTACAGGTCTTGCATAGTGTCATGATATGATATGAGATGAGATGATACGATACGATATGATATGCAACCAAACCAGCAGACCGTCCAGTCGTCCGTCCTTTGGTTTGTCAGCTCCAGTGTTGCTTTCGGTTTTCGGCAGCCGAACAAGAGCAAGTGTTGCTGTCGAACCACATGGTTCGAGGGAGCAAACAAGAGCAATCGTTCGCTCTCCTGTTAGCGTGAGCACCGGTCCGAAAGGATGGCCCTGGCGCGACCAACATAGCATCTAAACCAACGAATGATCTTAGTGTGCTCGGTTCGGCATTTTACTTCCCTAGGTTCGATTTGGGCATACACTGGAGGTGCTATGGGCCCATTCGCTGGGTTGAATTTGGCTAAAAAAATTAGTCAAAATACTATTTTACTTGAATTATTATAAAAAAAAATATTATTCCGATTCAAAAAAAAAAAAATCGAACCGGATTGACAAGCGAACGGGGCCGTCAAGATGTACCGTACTTTGCCGGTAATAAAAGTAGCCGCTCTATCTCCTTTAGCTTTACAGCCGCTCTATCTCCTTTATATTTACAGCCTCCATGCACATGAGCAAACGAACGCCGCCGCTGCCAGCACCATCGTCATCGTTCATCAAGAACACAACGCCCCCGCGGTGGTTCTCCGCCAGCGACATCAACTCTGGCTTTCCCCACCCAAAATCTGCATCGTACTGTGGCCTGCCCAACCAGCTGGTAATATGCAGGTCCGTCTGCCGCAAGGTGCCCCTCGGAGGCCGGCTGTCCATCTCGGCCATCTCAAAGTAGTCGATCGCAGAGCGCACTAGCTCGTCGTCCATCCGATCGACGGCGCCTCTGATGCGGCCAGCGACGGATCCCAGCGCCTCCGTGGCAATATCTCGCGCCGCGCTGGTGACGCCTAGCCAAAACATCGCATTGCCGAAGTAGCGGCTCGGGAGGGGCGGACTCATCCTACGCCGGAGGTCGGCCGGGAACGCCAGGCGCGCTTCAGAATCAGGTGGGAGCCGACGCGCAAGGCATGTGCACTGCCACACGAGAGCGCTAACAGCGCAGAAGGTGCTCGTGCCACCACCGCAGAGGTGCTTCAAGGAGGCGATCCGGTGCTTGGAAATGGTGAAGACTTGGATGGCAAGAGGTCCTGACGGGCTGGACAAGACGTGCTTAGGGTAGAACGTCAAGAGTGCGTCGGGTGGACTGCGGGCGGGGACCGTGCACGGAGTAGGGTGCGGTCATGGCAAGGGAGCTCCACGGTAGCGCGGTCGCCATGCTTGCAGAAGGCCGACCATGTCTGGAAGAAGTGGAACGCGCTTAAGGCATCAACGGCGACGTGGTGGAGAGCTGTCCCTAACGCCACCCCTCCACACTTCAAGAAAGTCACCTGCCATCATAAGCACGACCATTGATATGTATATGTAATATAATAAATAATGGTTTTCTATTTTCTAAAGATAATAATAAATATTTATTATGGTTTGATCTCTAAAATTTCATAATCAACATATTTTATTTAAACTGGAGAAATCTCAAAATAGCTAGTACCAGTTTTTTTTCGTTATGTATCTGATAGTAGTGCTTTATTTGGAGTCATTTTGATCTTATTTATTTTAAATAACTAATAATAATAAAAAATAGGAACATAATAAATTATTAGTTCCAAATAATTATATATAGATCATAAACAAGTATATAACATTTAAAAAAAGAAGATACATACTGGTTTCATATTTTTCGATTTCAAATAATTCATTGATTATGAATTTTTCATAGCAAACCAACGTAACTGCTTATTATTTTTTAGTACAAAATAGAAAATCATCTTTGAAACCAGCCGTGCAGGACCCAATTTATCTACTATGATCCATTTCGTTGTTAAATGTTGAAAAATAGACTTAATATTGAACAGCATATGGAAGCAGAGAAATTAAGTAGTGGACCTGTACGGCCAACATGATGGACGATGGCTCAATGAGTGGAACAAACAGCCTCCTCAGTTCTGGCGACGGCTTGAATTTCTTGACGTCATCGGCAGTGAGATCATCAGCCTGAGCGACAACAAAGAGTGCCCTTCGCCGTTACAGCTGATCTCCATCCTGCCGTCGTCGTTGTTGATGCCGAGGCGGCCAGCGAGGGGGTAGAAGGCCACCAAGGCTCTGGCCATAGCCTCTTTGAGCCTGGCCACGTCGAAGAAATCAGCCGTAGCGGCAACATCGTTGGAGCTGTACAGGTAGATCGTTGGAGTGTGGCCTTGGTTGGCCAGCCAGAGGTCCAAGGAAGAGAGCCAGAGCCCCTTCCTCGGTGCCGGCTCGCTGGGCGTTACAAACGACGACTCCACCACCTGCACCTCGAAATCCATCGATTTCATTTTCCTTCTTGTCACACGCACGAACAACCACCAGCAATGGATGATGTTATTACTGTATTAGCTGTAGCTGCAATTGCAAAGGGAGGAGCGCAGGCTGGACTGGAGTTGCGGGCTTGCGGGGAGGAGGAAATAATGGAGTTGCAGACATGTGTCGACGCAACGACAGCAGCTCTGGTAGGTGGCATGTCCTAGAATTTATTTATTGGAAGAGAGGACAGCCATACTGGCATACAGTACTTCAGTTTCGGTGAATAGTTTTATAGCGCTGTATCGAAGACTACCGTATCATATCATGAAAAATAAAATAAAATTTGGATTGAACGCTCGTTCTCCATAGGGAGTGCAAAGTTTTACAGGCATCTAATTTCATTACTCGCAGAAAGTTGATAATCATATGAGATGAAACTCCTCCCTCTTCTTCTGAGATACACTGTGATGTCATAAAAATGCATAGGTAATTAAACTATTTAATGCATACGAAACTTACTGATCTTACCACGGTGCACCCCGTGACAGATCCATCGATCTGCATGAGTACTGTACTGTTCCTGATTGATCGTGTCTGGTGGCGTCGTCCAATACGTGCACGCGTACCTACAGCGTTAGCGGATGCTCCAACACTCTCTCTCCTCTCTCAGCATTGTGCAGGTTCTTATCCGTGGATCGCAGCTCTGTCGTCGTCGTCCCTCCCTCCCGATGTCCGAGAAAATCCTATTCAGGGGATGCATTATAATCTCTGTACGTCCGTTCGCCCTGTTCCGCTGCCACGGGGTAGTTCTTTTCCGTGCATCACTTACTTAGTGGTTGTCGTCGTCGTCCAATTGGTCTGCTTTTTGCTACTACTAGTATCTGTAAAAGATTTGATAGTAACAACAAAACTTTGCATGATACAGATAACAGATAATACAAAGCGCTTCAGTGCTGGTTCTCTGATGATGCATCTCTGTAAGTGCTTCGTCCAATGGACAGATAAGATAACCATGCATGTCACAGTAGTTTCAGTCAATTTTTCAGTCAGCATAGAGCGTTATTCGGCGGATGGATAAGATGTCTGGATCAGACATGCATGATTAGTGCTCCCGCCAATGAAAGAGGAGAGACCCGCTATGCTCGCTTTAGCGTTCGTGTGTTTCTGTCATTCATAAATACCACATGCCTGTAGCGCTAAACATGGCGCCTAAGAATGCGGCAGTCGCTTGCAAGCTCGTGCCTTCTCCCGGCCAACTCCACTCTGGGCCCTCCTGTACGCAGGGACGACAGAGCCAGAAAACCTAAGATGACAGGGGTCAAGTACGTACACCAGTCTCTTCTTTTTCTCGAATACCTAAAAGATTTGTACATCTTTATAATTAAAATAGAAATGTTTGCAAACAATGTGTTTCTACGAGCGTCCTAGGAGGTCTATAGGATTACAGTTGTGGGCTGGACGATCATAGCGTACAGATACATATTTTGATATTACATAAATGATATATATAGACAACCAGGATAAGAGTAGCGACACAGCCTAGGAAGAGGCTTACACTTCTGCTGATGCTAGCGAGACCCATTCCCGCCGCCGTGGAAGAGCGCTTCCAGCGCTGTGATGTTCGAAGCTTTGGGCTCGGCCTCATAGAATGCCTCATAGGAATTCTTCGCCGATGTGCTTGGCGTTGACAGACCCGTGACCAAACATACTTGCTGCATGATTAGGATCTCACCTCGCTTGGAAACAGGCAACCAAGAGAGGCTTTGAGCACCTAGACGCTTTCTTCGCAGTGGCAGCACCACCGTTGCAGGTGACAGCTTGGGCGACTCACGAATCATCAGGGAGGCCCTCTTACGCATCACTTTCTTGATGAAGTTCTCGAGGCAGCAGTTGATGGAGGCTTTGTGGTCCACGATCTGGTGGTTATCCACCGGCGGCGTACCAAGAGGGCCGGCATCCGCCGTGAGATCGATCGGACCGAAGCCTGGCGGGTAGCCCTCTTCGTGCCTGGTGGATGCATTGACCTGCGTGCCTAAGGCGACACCGATGGCGAGTTCGCTACCCACTGAGTGGGGCGCGGCGCGGTGGTGGTGGTGTCTGTAGCACCAAGTCAACGTGCTAGGACGGCGTCTGTGTTGCGCCTTCCTGGAAGGCTGCTGGTGTAGACGCAAGAGACCACCACCGTGGCCTCATCCTCCAGCTGGGCGGCCGCCAGAGCTACAGTTGAAAGTCTTAGTTTGGTTTTGGCTAATTAATAAAAACTATTGGACTAACCCTATGATCTAAGTGTATAGATGAGATAGGTTGGTCCGAGTCAAAGTGATGGAGCTAGATGACACTCATGGTGATGGAGATGGACAAATGATGGTGATCAAGTGCTCCAACTTAAAAAAGAAGAAAGAGAAAAATAAAATGGTGGTCAAGACAAAGCTATATGAGATAGGACCATTTTGTTTTGCCAATCAAGACGTAATAGAGTATGTGATTGGATTTAGGATAGATAGCCGTACTATGAAGAGGTGCGAATTCATGGTTGATGCGGTTATCAAGTGTCACTAGGTGATCTAACTCGTTGCACGTGCATTTGGAACCTAGTGAGCTAACATGCCCTTGAAAATGCTTTTGTAAAAATACTAACACACGTGCGCAACTGTTTTGGACACTTTGGTGTTGGCACATGAGAGCAACGGTGGAGAATTCGCGCTTAAGAGTGAAGTTACTGGGGCGGTGGGGACATAGCGACCAGCTTCGCTGGGTGACAAGCAACATCCAGGTAGGTTGTGGGGTGGTCGTTGTCAGACTCCTCGGCGTCGTCATCCGCCCACCGATGGCGCTTCGTGTGCCCTCCTGAGGAGCAACCTGGGTAGAATTTAGCTACGGCACCGTGGCGGCCTGTGGCCGACGGGGCGATGCACTCGGAGGTGGGCTCACGCACCTAGTCCCAGCAGGGTCAACGGGTCGTTGTCCAGCGCAGGCGGCGGGGAGCCAGATCTGGCCCCAATGCACGGCAGCAAGGTGACCGCGGCTGGACCCGGTGGCGGAGGGGGCGGTGGGGTGCTGATAGAGGAGGTGACCACGGCGACGGCATCTGCTCCCAGCGGCTGGGGGACGCCAGTGGAGGGGTACGACACGGGCGGCGGCAACGACCGCGCCACGCGCTCATGCGCTCCTACGCGCGGGTGAGGAGAGGAGGGGGGCGTGGACGCAAGGAGGGGAGGCAAGGGGGCAGGGTGAGGGCGGAGGCGACGGCGAGAAGGAAACCAGGGGCTCCTAGGGTTGGGTGGGAAATGGAGTCGTCATGTATCTTTTTTGAAATAGTGTAGTGGCTACACTAGTCTCTTCTAATTTTCTTATTTTTCCCTTAGCTGTATGTACCACCGAAACAAATTAAGTAGGCTGCAAAAGGACTAGGTACAAAATGATTTACGTAGCAGGGATTGCTACCACAGGTACAACCAACAACCCTAGGGAAAGAACCCATCATGGGCTTGGTGCATGTTAGTTTTGCCTGTTCGCTTGGCTGCGGCTACAACTTCTGAAGTGCTAAACACTGTTACAGCTGCAACTTTCTAACTAAAACAATCGCAGCCGCAACCGCAACCGCTTTCTCCAACCGGTACCAGCAGCCAGGATGTTCAAAACAGTTTGCCACAAACTGCCTAAGGTGCACAATCTTCAGGTCAGTATTGAAAGCACATCCCTGCACTGCCCAAGTGGCTCCGGGGATAAATGAGGAACACCGCAGGACAGCGCCGTTGGCAACCTGCACATGAATCTCTTGATCTAGACTCTGAACCCCTTGCAATGACTGAGCCACAGATGCACTGAGGAATGTATGCGAACTGCCCGAATCCACCAAGATTGCAACTGGCAAACCCTGAATGAAACCGTCAAGGCACATAGTCTTGGGAGCAGAAGCACCTGCAATAGCAGCCATAGACAGGTGTAACATTATTTGTGCACCAGGAATGGGATCAGGCGTGTCCTCATCTGTATTGTCGTCCAGGTTCGGGAACACATCGAGCAGTTCCTGGACCATGTGAAGCTGAACGGCGGCTTGGCAGCGGTGATCGCGGCTCCACTTCGCCCCGCAACGGATGCAGAGACCCCGAGCGCGGCGAGAAGCCCGCAGAGCATGAAACTTCTCTTCAGCAGAAGCAGTCGGAGTGTCTTCCACGCGATCCGCACCCCCAGCAGGTTGAGGCAGTTGTGGAGCTGGTAATGGCGCGCCGTGGCCGAGCCAAGGCCGCTGTGGACCGGGCACCACATCATTGCGCCGATAAGTCTTCCTGGTAGCCGCTAGCGCGTCCTCCTGCAATTGCGCCAAGACACAAGCAGCATCGAGAGAAGATGGACTCTGAACAAGGACGACTTTGATCTCATCCCGCAGACCCTCTATGAAACGCTGAATGTAATAGAGTGGGTCAGGGTGCTTAGCATAGGCTTTTAACTGGTCAACCAAGGCAACAAACTGTTCGACGTACTCAGAGACAGGACCACGGCTGTGAAAAGTTAAAACAAAGCGACGCTTAATAACAATCGCGCGTGCTCGTCTTTGGCAAAGCGGGCGAGGATTTGGCTACAAAATTCCGACCAGGTAGTGGACTCAAGTTCATCTTCTACAGAGGAGAGCCAGCGTTTTGCAGCGCCCTTAAAATGCATGTTAGACGCTTGAACCCAAAGCTCAGACTCCACGCGATACAGTTTGAAGTAGTGGGTGGCTTGTTTAATCCAGAGCTTGGGGTGTTGACCATCAAAGGTTGGGAAATCAAATTTTGGTAGTTTGCCGGTATGACCTCCCTCACTTCCCCCTTGGAAAACCGACTCCCAGTGTGAGGTATGGTTAGGTGGTGGTGGTGGGCGTGGCGGCGGACATGGAAGAGGATAGGGGACAGGCGGATGGCAAGGAGACATACCCTTGTCGGGAGGTGGAATCAGAGTGGTAACCACTCCGAATTCACCATCCCGGTTCCAGTGCCCGACGCGGTGCCCGTGGGGCCGATTGGCTGATGATCCCGCAGATGGGCGCGGGGCAGCCATGAAGTCGCCAGGCATGGCGGACTTGAGTGTAGGCGCTACGGCGTCGGCTTGAGTCGGCGGCGACGTCGCTTGGCTTGGTGTCCGGGCGGATGTCGTCGAGTGGAGGGCCACGACGAAGGCGTCGGGGCGCGCCAAGCGCGCCGTCGCCCGGCATCGACGCGAACACCCCCGGGGTTGCCGACGGGGCGTCCACCATGGTGCGCTCCATGTACTTGGAGATCTTCCCGACTTCGAGCCGAAGAGAAGACAACTTGTTGACCTCGATGCGGAGGTCGTCAATCACACCATCGACGCCCGGGCGCCATTCGTCGAATAACTTGGCTGCGTGCTCCAGTTGGTTGAAGCGGCTCGCAGAGGAGTCTGTGGAGAGCGCGACCTTCCTCGCGAGATCGTCGAACGCCGCCTAAGCGGCGGCGCGCTTGTCCAGCTCGGCGAGGAGAGCCTTCTGGTCAGACTCATGGCGCTGACGAACCGTGAGGCGTGTAGTGTGATCGTGGGTGGCGGAAGGGCCGGATCCAGATCAGTGTAGCTCACCACAAATTGCGATTCGTGGATGGAATTACAGAATCTCGAATTCAATCCGCAGGACACAGATCAAATTCGAGTTAGACCCACCAAATCCGTTTGAATTCAAGCAATCGGTGGAGTACTGAGCGCACGCGACGGATGCGAGCCGAGGAGCGGTGTCTCTGATACCACTTGTGAGTGATAGTAAGGGATTTGGGGAAGAATTTGGGAAGGATCGGAGAGCACGAAGGGGAGGAAGGCGGATCCGGCAGGAGCCCGGAGGGCAGGATTGTATTGAGTTCGTAGAGTTGTTTACAAAATTGTCTTCCCTCTTCTCTTCCTCTCCTCTCTCTCTAAGTACACGGAGACAGGGGTGTCTCCAAAGACGCTGCTACTACTTGGCCCACTCGTTCCCTGCGTATCGCGCATTGGGCCGCCTGGGCCTCTTAGCCTTGGGCCGTTGGCCATCATCAGCTTCTTCCTCCTGATCATGATGGCCGGTGGTATGGGAGGTGCTCACAAATTGTTTGGACACCCCTACGCTACTACATAAACTGTTTTTGGAGGGGGCCTTTTCCCCCTAACAAGTCACAAGGGCAGCCGGGCAGGTGTATATACTCTTGAAGTTACTCCCAAGTCCCATGTCACATAGAGTTCATATACAGTATACTGTATGTTACAATATCCCAGTCTCCCAGATACACAGAAAGAATCTCTCGAAGTTACTCCCATGTCATCACACATTGAAACACGCACCCTCGAGGCTGTTCTTGTTTCTCCCCTCATAAATGGCCAGCATGTCCTTTCCTTCGTCACCCTTACAGCAAATATGACACGTTCTATCATTAAAATTGGTAGAGATGCAAATTCTGTGGCTGACAATCTCGCAAAGAAAGCAAGGCGGACTGTAGTTCCTAGTTCTTGCTTGTTCTCTTGCGAGTCTTGGACTCATTCTACAAATTGTACTATCCAGATGGCTCTGGAAAACTTTCAATGGGGCAATTTTTGCCCCATATCTGTATCTTGTATTTAAGCTTTGAATGAAATTACCGTTTCAAAAAAAAAAAAAAAAGCCATTCAGAGTTTCACCAGTCAAGACCATTGTGAAAGAAATACAGAGATACCCAGTTTAGTCACAATTCACATGTCTGATGCAATGATTTCCAAAAGATACTGTCGAAGCATCCAAAGTATTCCCACTAGTCATGTAATTCAGCTATGATACATTCTTACAAGTTCACACATAACATAAGAACAGGCCTACACAGTCAATTCTGATCTTGAGATAAGAATGCCATCAGAATCGGCATAGAGCCATTCTCCATCGCAAATTCTAGTCCCTGCAAAGGTCACAGGAGCATGCTTCTCACCGACGCCCTTCTTGTTTGACTTGATAGGGTGTGAGTTCAGAGCCCGGACGCCAATGTCACAACCATTTATCTCATCGACGTCCCTGATGCAGCCATTGACCACGACACCAGCCCACCCGTTGTTCTGCGCCAGCTGGGCAAGGTTGCCACCCAAAACTGCACAGCGCATGCTCCCACCGGCATCAACCACCAGGACCCTGCCGTGACCTTTCTCCTCAAGGAACTCACGGAGCAGAACGTTATCCTCGAAGATCTTCAGTGTCACAACAGGGCCAGCAAAAATCCGCCGCCTTCCATAGATTTGGAAGATAGGTTGGAGAGCACGAAGATCACCATTCATAATTAGAGCAGCATTAGCATCACATGCTTCAGCAGTGGCCAATGGCAAGGCAGCCATCTTATCTTCAGTCCTACTTGTCATCAGAAGAAGAAAAGAGAAAAATCAAGGAACAGTACAGATAAGCAGTAGATAATTCCTTACACAGAGTAACACAGCAAGTTGCCCAGTCCAATGATATGCACATCTATACTAAGAAAACTTGAATTATTAACGGTTTCCATGTATACATCTGGTTTTCCCATTGTTTAAAGTACCAAACTGCCACAGACCAAATCTTGCCAAAGAGAAGTTCAGTCTTCCATGAAGAAACAACATGAACCAGCAAACATGCCTCAACTACCACAGAGCACAACTAGTAAAAAATCATGCCAAGGAGAGTTCAGTCTCCATGAAGAACATGAACCAGCAAACAAGCCTCAAACTCAGGAACACAATAATATCTGCTTCTATAGCAGAAGAGAAGACAACTGAAAAAACAATCAAGTTATCTGATACAAAATTTCGCTCTAATTCTATGCACAACATGGACACTGTTTGCCTCTGCTGAGGTTCTGTAACAACATCCAGCCCAGATTTTCACGCAGAGCTATATTTGCTCATAACACAAAATGAAATGTTCGCCTGATCTCAAAACCAGAAGCTAATAGCACTCTAGGAGAGTCATAGTGCGAATGCGATGCAACGTCTCAGTAGTGTTTGATTTGGACCAGAACTAAGTTTTTGTGCAAGGCAAAAGCCCCTCGTCCTGCAGTGGAAACTGCAAGGAAAAGAACTATGTATGTAATGAACTATTGGTTGCAACAATATAAAAAGCCTTCCGCTGCAAATAAATATTGAATAGACTGAGCTATGTGCTTTTTTTACTAGTACTAGTAATGTCAACATATCAGAGGCCGCTGACCATGTAACAATACATATATGGTTGCAGTGGAGATTTTGTCAAGCAGACTAAGCAGCATAACAGGATTAACATTTAACAATACGTATTGTGCGCATTCACATTGTCATATAGTACAGCATGACTTACAAAAAGGGGGATGATTACAAGTTATCAACCCATGTGAAATCATTGTTTCGAGTAAGTGTGTTGATTCCAGAAGATGTAACAATGTAATTTAAGAATCGAACCCATGTCAGTTGTCACCTAGGGTGAGAAAAGGCCACAGGGTATATGAAATGGACTGATGTCAAAGAATATTTAAAAGGCAGTTTTCTCAATGTTCAGGAAAAAAAAGTTTTTTTTGGGTGGATTGGGGGAGTAGAGGAGGGGAGGTTGGCCTGGGACCGGAAGCGATGTTGGTGGGCATAATACATAGTACATGTACATGTAATTGGGTCAGATCCGGATACAAGTAGCTTAAATTTGGGTGGTCGTTTTGAAAAGCATGGAGGAAAGAGAAACGGCGAGCATACCTGGTGCCGGGGAAGGGGCAGACGAAGAGCTGGCAAAGGGCGGTGCCGGTCGCTAGCGGAGGGGGCGACGAAGACCTGGCAAAGGGCGTTGCCAGTCGCCGGCGAAGGGGCCAACGAAAACCTAGCGAAGGCTGTCGACGCTCGCCCGCCCGCCACTGCCGGTCTGCCGTCACTCGTCGGCGCCAAGGAAGGTAGAGAGAGAGAGAGAGAGAGAGAGAGAGGGGTGAACGGGAGTACGGAACGAAGGATAAAAGAGTCGTGGACGCAACAGAACAGTCAGCCACGCGTATTGCTGTTTTTTTTATAAAAAAAACATGAGTTCTTTTTTTTCTCGAACACCGCGAATAGGTGCGGAAGCTGGGAGTTGGCTCCACAGAACCATCTAAAAAAACAACGTACCTGGAAAATCGTCAAGCCGGCGCAGCTCCTGATCGCCAACGACGTTGAAGGCATCCCAGGTGTGGTTGTCCTCCCACTCACTCCCCATCGTTGCTACACTTTGCTCGTCCGCGGGGCCATGGGCCTCCTCGCGCCTGCGTCTGGAGCTCTCCGCTTGTCGCCGCTGCGTGTAGTCTAGGTGTTTGATGAAATGCCCATGCAAGCTAACTGTTGTCTGCAATTGGCTGTTACAGTTTTGCATGTGTTCCTGATTGAATATTATCTAGACTAGATGGATGACTACAATGAAGTTCTGTTACCAAAATTAGAACTCTATAATTTCAGCCAAATTAGAACTCTATAATTTGAATGCCAATAGAATATAGTACATCAATAAGATATAGATAGTGAGATTTAGCTGCTCTGCTCGAGTGCTGAGTTATATGGACAGAGAATCTTCTGAAGTGAACTGCCAAAAATAGAAAATCTTCTGAAGTGAACTGCCAAAAACAGAAATATAGAGGGTGAAATTCTCAGTGTCTCCTGGTCTCCCCCACCCATGTGCGCTCACCAGCGCGAGTCTAAACTAGAAAGTTGACAGCGACACCGAATAGGCCACAAATGGCAAATAGCGGGTTCGTCGGACTGTTCACTGCATAAGTATCAGTAATAGTTTGCTAACTGGTGGCGTCGCCACTGGCTGGGTGCGGAGCTTGACCAGCGTACGATGGTAACAAGCCAACAAGTAACAATTCTGTTGATTTTTTTTAGACAAAACGGCAGGGGAGCCCCCTACCTCTATTTTTTCTTATATATATATATATATATATATATATATATATGAGAAACAAATATATACATACTGTACACGTTACAAGGCTCTTACAGCCCAAAAGAAAAGGACAAGGCTCTTACAATTCTGTTGATTTCATCTTTGTTGTAGCTATGAGTGAAGTTTCTAAACCGTACAAGGATTAGTTCAGAACTGGGCTTCCCGCTTTGCTGCTTCTGTGATTTTGGACAATCAGAATAAGAGGCCTCGGCGGCTTGTTTGCTGCCCTCGCATGCTTCCATACATCCAGCCTTTCATCAACAAAAATATGGCCGCGTTTTCCATGTATATATACTGATACAAATAGGTTCAGAGGGAAAATACCTCCAACATGCCTGTACATGTACTATATATGATTCAAATTGTTGCCTCACAGCACGGCGAGTGGTGTCATCCTTTTCTCTTGAAGATCCCCATCCAGCGAACTGGCAACCATGAGGTACGCCATACGCATCTCTGATCGCACGCATCTGGACAGCAGCATCTCGCATCGCCATTGGCACTCTTGGCTGCTGCTTTGAGCAGGAGACGCTGAGCCAAATCACTGAAACCAAGCACACCTCACTCCGGTTCTCATGGCAGCATCAGCAGGATCTTTTTCCTTCGCTTCTTTTTTTAGATCAAAGGCATTCACCCAGCTTTATTGAAAGCGTAACGAACGCCAACGATCCGGTACTGGGGTTACCAGTTTTACAGATAGGACCAAAAGAAACTACGGGAGTTTTACATCCATCGACTCTCCCTTCACCACTAACTCAACCATTCAGATAACAACTAGAAACTCGTGACAACTCTACTGAGACAAATCATAAAGCATTCAACTACAACGAAAAAGATAACGCGAATAGCCATAATCAGTATGCGCTCGTCGCCATCACATTTATCATCTCGTCCACCATGGGGCTAAGCTTGGCTTTCACCAGAGGGCGCCAGGTCTTGATTAGCATCAGAGTCTTGCGTATGATCGCCGTCGGGGATGACATCACTTTCTTGTTGAACACTACGTCATTCCTGGTCTTCCAAATAGTCCATAATGCACCTGCACATATGATTCCTTCGCTTCTTGATGCAGCCAGATTGCTGGGTTGGATAGCTCCAAGGCTCCGTTGGGGAGAGCGGCCTCGGCGAACTTTTGAAAGTCCAATGAGTCTTTGAACATGTGTTATGAAGAATTCTAGAACTGAAGCTTCATATACATCTTCAGTTATTTCAGGTAAGTGATCACCTGCAGGCATCATTTCTTGTCCTACGTATTCACTATTGTGGAAAATCATTGTGAACTATCGCTACTCCTCCATGCTCCACCAAATGAGATCTGGCAAATTTAAGATACAAACCTCTAATAGCATGCATTTCAATAGCTGCATCCTGTATTGGGATCCGTTCTCTAGGTTGCTTCTTGGAGCAGGATATTCCAAGAGCAACAACAGAAACCAAGCAATTCTGAATTCTGCTTCTTGTAGTTCTGTTGTTAGCATCTATGTGCATCCAGATTGTCAGATCAACAATCTCCCATATTCTCTCTGGAAGAGCATTCTCTGAAAATTTGTGCAAATCCAATGAATCACTGAACATCTGATCTGTTGGGCTCCGTCCGGTGAACATCTCAAGCAGTAATATACCGAGGCTATAAACATCACCTTGTGTTGAGACAAAAGAACCTTCACCATACTCTATGAATGTGTAAAGGACAAAAGTCAGTGTGTTATGTTCATAAAAGAACCGGGGATAATGCATAAATGCCAAAAATAAGTATATCAATTACCTGGAGCAATATAACCAATGGTGCCTCTTATTCCAGTTGCGCTAGTTGAATTTTGTTGGGTTCTATTAGCACTTTGTGGAAGTATTCTTGATATGCCAAAGTCTCCAACTCGGGCACTCATGTCTTCTGCAAGAAGGATGTTGCTTGGCTTGAGATCACAATGAATGATTGATGGCTGGCAGTGATTGTGAAGATAGTCCAAAGCATCCAAGATATTGACAGCAATGTGTAGCCTTTGTTCAAGGCTAAGAGTATTTTTCTGAGCAAGTGTGCCAGATTCTGGGTGAAGCCAACCCTTCAGGTTACCATTTGGCATGAACTCAAAAACTAGTGCCTTGAACTCTTCGCCCTGGTGAGTGATGCTTGAGCAGAAAGTGATGATCTTTATAAGACAACGGTGACGCACCCTTTGCAGTGCCTCACATTCAGCCACAAAACTTCTAGCAGTCCTAGACTGTTTTGTGTTAAACAGCTTTACAGCTACTGTAGTGCCCTGATCACGTAAAGTACATTTATAAACCATGCCATAGCTTCCTTGTCCAACCAAATTGGCCTTGGAAAATCCATTAGTCCCATTTGACAATGCATGGTAACAAACTCTTTCATACTGTTCATCGGTTGTGAATATGATTTGGCTTTTTTGCCTTTCTCTGAGCTTCTTATTGATCAACTGAATAAGAGAAACTACTGAAACTGAGAATACAAGTGCACTGAATGATATTAGGGTAATTGTAAGGGATTTTGACAAATGCCTTTTCTTCTTTTCTGAAGCAAACATGTAGCATGGAGGTAAATGAAGCTGAGGTGTTCCGCCACAAAGCTTATCGTTCCCATCAATGGACAGGTTCATTTCATTTCCAAAAACACACCCTTTTGGTACTTCACCTTGCAAATTATTGAAGGACACATCCAATTTTGACAATGATGTCAAATTCTAAAGACATGCAGGGATCAAATCTGAAGTTGTTGTGTGCTAGATACAATTCTTGTAGGTCGCCAATACTACAAAGGGCATCAGGAATACTCCCGGAGATCTTGTTCATGGTCACGTTGAGTACACCAAGGCCTTTTAAATTCTCCAAAGATTGAGGTAGAGTGCCCTAAAATGAATTCTGGTCCAGCAATAACCATTCCAATGATTTGCAATTTCCAATACTATGAGGTATGTTGCCAGACAACTGGTTTCCTGACAGATAGAGGCCGTTAAGGTTTGCCAGGCTACCAACTTCAGTAGGAAGTTGCCCAGACAATGAATTGTATGATAAATCTAAGTAGACAGAGAGTGCAGGAAGTTCAAAGACCTCTCTGGGGATTGAACCATTGAGTCAGTTCGTTGTGAGATCAAGGCGAAACAGGTTCTTTAAGTTTCCCAAGCATGACGGAATTGGCCCTTCCAAGTAGCTATTGTATAGAAGAAGTTCAGTCAGCCGTGTAAGATTTCCTAGTGATGAAGGTATGAGGCCTGACAACCTAGTGTTGTGAAGGCGTAACTTACTCATGTTCTGTAACTGACTAATGCTCTCTAGAATCACTCCGGATATGGGAGTATTCGTCACCACAGGAATTTCCAGACCAACCAGATTACCTATGTTGGATGGAATAAACCCCGAAATGCTATTGCCTCCTAAACCAAGAATTTGGAGAGTCATTGATAGATTTGCAATTGAACTCTAGGAAGTTTTCCACTGAAGGAGTTATCATTAATAGCCAGCAGTCGAAGCTGGCTGCAGTTTGCCAGTGCAGTGATGAATTCCCACCGCTCGCTATCATTCGTTTCTAGTTTATTGTGAGACAAGTCGAGACGAATGAGACCTTTCAATCTCCCCAGGGATTGTGGAAGCACACCTGAGAGGCTGTTGGCGTGGAGATAAAGGATGCGTAGGCCTCCAATGCTTGCCGATTTCATGTGGTATGGTGCCCTCAAGCTGGTTTTCACCTAGATCAAGAAAGTACAGAGATGACATGTTGGCTAGTGATACTGGGATATCGCCTGTCAAGTTGTTTGCCAATGAGAGCCACTGAAGGTCTGTGAGTTTGCGGCCAAGCTCAACAGGGACACGACCATGGAGTTGGTTGTGGCCGAGTCTCAAGGACAGTAATCTCACACAGAAAGTTAGGTTGGCAGGTAGTTCTCCGTTGAACTCGTTGTAGCTCAGGTCAAGCGTCTGCAAGCGTACGAGGCAGCCGACTGGCCGATGTTAGCTAAATCTACTAGCACCTCGTGTGAACACAGCAGAGGAAGACGGCGTCGATTTTGCCCTCTGTTGTGATACTGTAGCCGCTGCAGGTGCAGGCGCCGCACGGCTCACCTGCAGCACTATAGGCACATGCAGTGGCCGGCGCAGAGTCAGCCCTGTATGCTTATCTAGTTACTGTTACAGCATGTGCGTTTTACTTTGGTTAGATAGATAGAGTTGTATAAATAGGGCACCAAGGCAACTCAGTAAAGAGAGCTCAGATTTGTCATCACATAGACAGGGCCTCGGCCAACGTTGTTGTCTTGTATTGTGCGTGCTTGCTCTGTTCTCCCTTCTTCTTCTAGCTCGATCCGTAGTGTGTGGGTACGGACAAAACCGGTACGGTGGTCTGGGAGACTAGTGGTCTAGTCTGAGACTAGTGGTCTAGGAGACTAGTGGTCTGGGAGACTAGTGGTCTGGTCTGAGACTAATGGTCTGGGAGACTAGTGGTCTGGAGGCCAGGGGTCTTAAGACTAGTGGTCTGGAGACTAGTTCTTTATTGTCAGACGGTGATCCCGTGGGCCAAGAGCCGAGGCTTGCAGGGATGTTCCCCTGAAACCAATTGGAGCTCAGGTTCAGCACTCGCAGGAAAGTGAGGTTCCCAATGGCCGGGGACAGGGTGCCAGTGAGCCCATATGAGGGCAGGCTTAGCGCCACCACTCGCCGATGCCTAGCACCGCACCTGACCCCCTGCCAGCTACAGAAGCCACCAACGCTGCTGCTGTTCCAGGAAGCAAGCTGGTCGCCGTGCCCGCGGGCTCCGCTGATCGCGGCGGTGGCCTTGAACGCCAGCAGTGCAGCCCCGTCGCCGGCTTTTGTGGCGGACACGAACGTCGAGAAGGACGCGGAGGCGGATAGTAACAGCGGCAACAGCACTAAGGTTGCGGTTGGGGAGCGCGTTGCCATGCCGGCTGCTCTGCGCTGCTTCTTGAATCCTGAGGGTAGATGCCGATGGGTAGTGATGAGTTTGGTCAGTTTTGGTGCTTGCTGATCCCTACTTATTAATATATATACTTCCATGACGTAACGAGCCATTTGGCAGGACGAAGGAGTTATTAGGCGCGCTACAGTCGGCAGACGGGTAGGGTGGACGCCATATTTGCCCCGGCAGCAGTCCCTCATTTTCCCATTGGCTCAGCAGCAGAAACAAGGTGGTGTACTTGTACCAACTTTTTTTTATTTTTTAGCCTCCTTTTTAAAAAAATTCACAAATATGCCCCTGAAGGTATGATTTTAAAATCTGGACCCTTAGCTCGGCGTCACGTCTTGGCGCCATAGATTCTGGTGCCTAGGTCTTGGGCTCGACGCAGACGTGGCGGTGACTTGGCAGAAAGCTTGGCGCCGTAGATCCTGGCACCGAGCTTAGCGCCATAGATCTTGGCGCCGACCTTGGTGCCAATATCTATGGCGCCGAGGTGGTGTTTTAACCCGGCCTCCAACCTTCATGTCCGAGCCTTCTTTCTTTTCTTTCTCCTTCCTCTCGGGTTTTTTCTCTCCCCACTTCGTCTTACCTCACGAATCGGTATATTGGACCTTGGAAACTTTGATTTGAACCGTAGATCTTCGAGAGCAAAGTATCATCGCTCCCCTCCTAGTTTTTTTTCACATCGATTCGGTATATATTAGTCGGATTTTTCAACCTAAAAATCGTCATTACTTATGGTTTCATGCAATTTTTAATATTTGTATTATATAACCGTAGGATGCCAAGACGTAGAAAAGCCAGCAAACTAAGGTAACCTCAGCGCATATTGTTATGTTATGGGTTCATTGTTGTGCATCAAATGGGAAATCCTAGGTTTAGGGTTTAATGTTAATTGCTTTCGGTTTTTAAAACAAAATTGGTTGAATTGTAGTTATGGCCGGATGACTGGAAATGCCTTCGACCTATTGTCTCTGCCTAGTGGTGTTCCAGTGCCCATGTGCTTGTGCGGCGATCCTTGTAAGGTAGCAAAGTCCGATGAAGATGACATGTATAGGCAGAGGTATTGGATGTGTTCCAATTTTACGTTTGAGCCTACACTTCGTCAGCGCCGCATTAACAAGATGGTGATGAATTGATGTTTGTGTCATATGACATCTTGCATGATTTTTTTGTTTTTGTAACAACTGTATTTTTTGCAGACCCCTCCATCGCTCTGTGATTTTGAGCAGTGGATTGACACTGAGATCAAGCCTGAAGACAAGAAATGGATGCAGAAATTGTTGCGGTGGGAGGCAGAGGATAAGGAGATGATGGAGAAGAGACACGGAGAGGAGGCTGCAAAAAAGGAGCACAAGGAAGAGGAGGAAAGGAGGCGTGTTGCTGCGTATAGGGAGAGGGAGAAGAAGCTTGAGCGTGCACGCTGAGCGAAAGCAGCGATGGAGGAGAATCCCGATGCCCTGAGAAAGGGAAAGTGGCCTGGTTGCACTCAGTAGTTTTCATAACTTGCTAGTTCTATGGTTTATTCATGAACAATTTTATCTACTATCGGCACGTACTTCTAGTATTATTGTGTTGTTTAATGTGGCATAGTATTGGACTTTTCATTATGTAGTTGTTTTTATTATTTGTAGTCATAATATTTAGTATAATATTGCGGACGTAGTGAAATATGATCACGTGCTGCAAACAAAACCTAACGAAGTAGGGCATTATATAATTCAACACACAAAACACATGAAATGGCATGTGAGAACACGTACCGAACTAGGGTACAGAGTTCATTCAACTAAACCTAACATGTCTTAGATAATTAAACCAAACAACAAACATATAAATGTGCCATGTGAATAAGATAGGGTCGTCCTAGTAGTGTGGCCACATAGCAAATTGTGTTGCACCTTCTCCACAGTAGCATCCCATTGTTCGTGGTAGTGGTGGCGGGGGTGACGGCGGATGCCCCTTGTTCTTGTGGTTAGGGCAGGTGTAATATGGATCATTACAGAGTGCCTCCTGTGAATCGGCACCATTGTTGTTGTTGTCCTGTTCGTCGTCCTTGTAACCGCTGCTAACTTCTCTTTCTAGATCGAAGATACGGTCCTACAGGTAGTAGATGTACTCCGCATGCGGATAAATAGGTCGAGGATCGACCCATCTAGTGAACCCATAGTTTTCTTCGGCCAAGGAAGACTGCAATAAGTATGTCATATAAGTTGTATAGAAGAGGAACATATTAAAGAAACAAATAGTAATAGCAATTACCCATGCTCGCGGGCATTTGAAGAAATGACGACCTCCATCTATTCCCTTGGTGAACATCTGCACTAGGCAATCCTCACCATGCATGTATTTTGGCCACTCTTCTTTTCGTTCATCGTATCCTCTCAGTGGTGCCTCTTTGGTGAAATCACTTTTACTCTCAACTGGGAACCTCTCATAAAGAGTTTCCTCAAACAAATCGGGATCAAGAGAACCCTCCCATACAATGGTAGTTCTCTTCCCCTTTCCTCTCCCTCTAGACAGCCCTCCAGACATTGGTACTGCAACGAAAGAAAATACTAGTTGGGTAGTAAGTAGCAATGCATCCAGCATTGCGTATATATAGGCAGAGGCAGGTTTAATCTCCGTTTCAATGTGTTATAACTGGTCACAAGAAGCCTAATTAGTTTCACTGAAGAGCCTATTTCAATGGATACTGAAAAGTCTAGATTCGTTTTCTGAAAAGTCTATTCGTCGTTGACATGATAAATCACTGAAAAGCCTAGATGTTATAGGTGTACTATGTAAGTGAAGTGATAAATCGCTGCTGTCATCGTACTCTTCGTCCTTGTAACTGAAAAGTCTATATTCATTGTCTAAAAAGCCTAGATTTGTTCATTGTTATTGAAAAGCTTAGATGTTATAGGTGTACTATGTAAGTGAAGTGATAAATCGTTGTTGTCATCGTACTCCTCGTCCTTATAACTGAAAATACTATTTTCATTGTTTGAAAAGTCTAGATTCGTTCACTGTTACTGAAAAGCTTAGATTCATCTGCAAAGCGTCTGTACGATACGAGTGGACTACACACGCTCTAATGAATTTATATTTAATCTGTGTACTACATTTATGCCTTTTTAGCAGTGTAGTATAATTAATGATTCATAGAAAAAAATTCGTAAGAGTTTCCCTTGTTTCAGGAGCATCCACAGTTATAAACAGAGACATCATTATATAATCCAAACATTTAATCGTCCAAAGAGCACAATACAACCACATCGAACATCACAATCAACATAAGATGCCGTGCATAGTCTAAATAGTCCACAATATCCATACAGTCCCAAATAGTTATAGGAAAGTAACTACAAAATCCATAATAGTACATGCTAACATCTACCACAAAAATCTATAATAGAATCCATGCCCTGCAGTAGTACCCAACTGTCTCCTCATCTACCTCCTCGGAGCACTGTGCGAACTCTTGCCGGAGCCAGGAGATTAGAACTCCAGAAGTGTGAGCCCCTTGCTCACCAATCTCACACCCAAGGAAGTCCTCTACTTGTGCTCTCCAACCTTCTGACCTGCACTGCCCAGTCACTGTGTTGCCGTGAATCCTCAGGCCTAGCATCTTCTGACAGTCCTGGAGCGTGACTGTCATCTCTCCAAAAGGTAAGTGGAAGCTGTGAGTCTCCAGCTGCCACCTACATTTTAGACAAAGCAAGATTACATATAAAAAAGACAAGCGCATAAACAAATGGCCATGAATGGAGGCAATGATTGAAGATATTACCTGCCAACCAATGTAGTTATGGCCGCTGAGTTGAACTTGGGCAACCCACGACGAACCTGAAAAGAGATGACATCCAGGCCAGCTCTTTGCAGGAAAGGAGTGTACCTGTTGTCGTACTGCATGTCCAAAAACCCATTGTGGGTTCTAGGATGAAGGAGCAGAAAGTTCTGCATGGAATAAAACATAGTCTCCTGTTACTTCACGAACACATGTACGCTCACAAAAATTTAAACAAAACGTATAGATTATTACCTGTCCCTCCGCTATGAGACGTCCTCGGTGGGTCGTCTCGTACGTCGGGTCGAGCAGGTGAAATTGTGCCATCCTACAAAAAAGTCAATGAAATAGAAATTCAATATACAATGAAACATGAACTTAGAAATATACAAGTAATTAACACAATTACATGCATAATTAATTAAATGAATATGACAAATATGAAATAATGAAAACAAACAATAGTCGTACCTCACTAATCTGCCAATGGTAAGTGCGTGAATTGTGGCCCAGTCTACCACACTTGCCGCACTCGTACTGCTCGGGGTCAATAAGAAATGGGGTTACTCTCCCACGCCTCGTTCTTTCGGGAATCTGATCCATAACCATCTTGTGCCTCGTTCTCTTCCTTGATCCACGCTTGTTCCAACGGTAAGCTGGATCCGCAATGTACTTTGGCCCATCATATGGAGGTCACTCTCCAGGGTCTCAGAAAAGCACGAAGTGGGGGCTCCATGTGTGCACAAGCCTATCGACACTGAACTCGTGAGGTATCCTGCTCTCGATATTATAGTTGTGATGCCTAGCTGCTGCCACCAAATGGGAACATAGAAAGTGGTACTGCCTTGGTTTACCACAAGTGCATGTGAAATCTTGGAGGATAACCACATGCATCCTCGACTCTCGGACCTCGTCGTCGGACGTTGTACTGCCCCTATGCTCGACCTGATAAGTCCCTATGGCGTGGTCAAAGCATGTAATCTCATGTGTGCCAGCCCTTTCATTTGCCTTCTCTAGGTGTGCCTTTGGTTTCGGAGTCCATATCTCTCCATCACTCTGCAACTTCAATGCATGGGCGTGTCTATCGTTGAACTAGGCAACAAACTTATAGAAAGTGAATTGAACGATTGCATTCACGGGCATACCACATATCCCCAATAGCAACTTATTGAATGACTCCGCCATGTTGCTGCACTGAAACTCGTACCTCCATCC